GTATTTTAACAAAGGGAATTCTTATTAACAACAGAATGCGTCTGTTTTCAGGTTTATCTTACACCTCATGAACAATGGTATTTCTGGTGCTGTTTGATTTAACAAGCAAACAACGGCTACACAACCTTCTGATATCACTGCTGGGAATTCCTCAGACTTCACAAGGCCAGGAAAAGAATTCCAGAAGCATTATATAATGAAAACCAACAGGTTCACCATGATGGGACTTTGAAAAACACAGATTCTTTGGATAGCAGTATAGTGGGACCTGAGGAGTCGTATATCTCCAGATAGGTCATAATCTGGTGTGTAAATTACTCTCCCATCAGATCATCTTGGTCCCCCTCTTCATCCTCCTTCTCTTCCCCTCCTTTCCTCCCTTCTCCCGACAAATATGTACCACAATATTGATACAATTGTTTTATACCAAGCTGTCATATAATATCAAAATGAGACTTTTGTAAGTAGAAATATCAATTTGTTTGATATGGTATCCATTTGGGAAAATATTCTCAATTTACGAAAAATAGGAATGTTAGAATTATTTCCTAGCAATGTACGTTATCAGTTGTGAGAATCTCCGGGGTAACATTTTACAGATCTCCTGACACAGTTTACTTTCGACACCAGTCAATACAATTGATGACAGTTTTGCTGGACGAAACATGATGATGCGATTCTGAGCTGACTCTCCTTGGAGACAAAACATGGATGGCACATATTTTTAATTTCGCATTATCGTTGTAGCGATCACAATTGGTCCCCATGTTGCTGAAGTAATTACCACATATTGTCGTGTGTTAATGTCCGACCATGCATGCAATTCGACTACGACGGTGCGTTTTTCTCCTGTCTCTATGGGAAATAAACGGTGAGGTTAGATCGCCTAATATTGATTATAACAAATTTCTGTGTATATACATATATTACTATTAGATTACACTTTCTACACAGAATGATAGCTCTTTTACAATCTATGACAAAAACTAACATTAAATGAATTGTTTTTCCTGTTCATCAGTTTGAGTTATGAGAGTGAGGTAGTAGATAATATCATTGTTGTGTTCATTGACTTTCATCACAGTACATTAATTAAAGGGGGAGTTTACCTGTAGTACTATCCAATTAATTACAGGTGCCCCGACAAAGGATGATTTTCAAACAAACTCACTCACCATTAGCTTATTGGTTAGGATTTCCTTTTTTTCTGTTATTTGAACAAAAATCATTTCTGATATATAACAAATTTCATTTTCATTTCAAATCCAAAATGGAATTCATAAAATGTTAATGCGTTAATGCTTTTTCCTGCGTTATTTTACCAAATCTATTAATCAAAATATTGAGTGTCTTGTGCTCTACCTGTACTAAATCCTATATCGATTGTTTTTTCATTTCATTAGCCTGAGCCAGTAGATTGGAGCCGAAATGCATTATAGGGAAATTTTCTCTTACGGTCAACTTTCCAGGTCATTGCAGGATATAGCAGAAAAAAATTAGCAATTAATTCTAGAGTTTTTACATTAACCGGCTGAAATGACATCATATAAGCTTTTTCCTTTCTCACACTTTGTTTTGAACACAAAATGTCCTAAAAACATTATTTGCCTTTAAATCCAATTAAACCTGGTTGCATTAAAAAAAAAATGCTGCTTTTTTTCGATCTTTTATTGTTTAAAAAAACCCCACAACAACATTTATTACAATAATTCAAACAAACCACTGAAGTGTTGTAATTTGGAAAGCCCTATCTGTATAAAATTTTGCCCATAAAAATTGAATTACAAACCCATTTCTCCGGTGATGACTTCCACGGGTATGCTTCGTGGGGATATTCCCCCATCTCCCAGAGAGGCGACTTGAAACACATAACGAGTTCCAGGTTGCAGGCGATCAATCACCTTTTCATTCCTTCGAACCTTTGATAATTCAATAAATCCACCTATTTCATCTTTAACTTTGTAGTATATAGTGTAAGATCGAACAAGTCGACTGGGTCCATCAGTATTCCAACGTAAACGCACTGAGGTTTCCGTGACATTACTCGCCTCCAAATTGGTCGGAGTTGGTGGAAAATTAGCGTTAGATTCGTGTATGAAACTGGACACAAACAGCACCAACAATAAATGACTTGACCATCCCTTGGTCATTTTGACATGAAAATGATCCATTTCACACATGAAACAGATTCCTGACAATAGTATTATCCTTATGTCGTATCAGCTGTCCATAGTGACAAACTGACAACCAATGTTGGTTCAGGTATCACTGGCATGGATGTACATACATGTGACCTACAACCCATCCGTCACATTGACGCTGGGCAGTGATGATATCGTTATAAAGGCTACACACAATGGCAGTACTAAATTGTTTATAAATCCAGTGTTACATACTCCGACACTGATTTAAAAAGCTATCCGAGGCAACACTAGGACACAACACAGAACTTTCCACTCCACGGACGCTTCCTTTAAATTAAAACATTCAGCATCAATAATCACCAATATGAAGGTAGTATCCCTGAGTCGGTGGCACACACAGGACGTTAGGTAAATAAATAGGTAACTTATAACTCCAGTTGTGTTGTGAATATTTCATGAAGGTTGTAGTTGTAAGGTAGTAGGGTAGCAGGGTCTGGTGTGTCAGTCTGCTCCCAAACACATGTCCCTCCTGGGTCTGACAGAGCTCTGTTTACTTATCTACAGCACAGCCACAGGCTGCTGGCATCCTGTTTCATTCAGAGTCTTTCTCTGTCTCTCCATCTCATACAGTGGAGGGTGCCACCGTCAGCTGACCTAGCCAACACAATCCCATTGGCTGCAAGTTCTGGTACACACAGTTTGAGAAGGGGATCAAACTCTGTGTGTGAGGAAAGCCCAATCTTGTTTCTATGGCAACGCATCATGCTGCTTTTGCCCAGAGAGCCTTGCTTTGGAGTAAAATCTATATTTCCTTGTCAGATCAGTAAAGTTTTTATATCAAGAAAGAAGATATTTTGAAATCTAGGAGATGTATGTTGTGTGTAAGTCATATTTACAGTGAATTAAATGAACTGGGTTGTTATTTGGGGCTCCTTGTCAGCTATGCTGTTCTCAAGTTTAATGTCTTGACTCTACAGAACACACCTATCTCTCTATCTCGAGAGGCAATCAGAGCTGATAAGGCTTAAAACAGCTCTCCATAAATATAGACTCCAGCCTGATAAGGTTTTCAAATGTGAAAACTGAAACCCTCAAAAACCTGCCGGTTTCCATCAAAAAAACTTTAGCAAACTTTGGACTGGTGTTGAGATGGGAAAGATGGAGATGGGGTGTGAGGGGAGTCTATCAGTCCCTAATGGTGAAACCTGCCTGATCAAAACCCCCAGTAATTCCCCTCACCTTGAAGTTTTCTTCTACTTCTACTTTAAAACAGGTTCTTATCACTTTTCTGCTCCATGTTCGTAGAATTATTTGATATTTTACAAGAGTTAAACCACATCCCTGGCACCAATGTTTATCTCATTTAAGATCTTTTTACAAGATAGAATTTCAATCATTATTCCCCTGAGACAGAGGTTCTCACTAAATATATAGATATGAATAGTTTTCTTCATGGTATATATAGATATCTTGCTTTTGTTTTGACAGATATGTTGTTTAAAAAAAAATCTTTACTCATTTTACAACAATTGCCAAACAAATTCTATCAACTTATTATTGACCCAAATGGAAGTGCGCAGGGGACTTAATATGGGAGGAAACCGAAATACACCGGTAAAAAAAATGTGGTTGGACAGGTGACCCGATAACTTTTCATCTCTGATCAGGAAATTGAAACCCAGTCATCTTGGTGAAATGCGAGTGCACTACCCACTGTGCCACCCGACCACCGACAGGTACATCAGAACAGTGCCACCCGACAACCGACAGGTACATCAGAACAGTGCCACCCGACAACCGACAGGTACATCAGAACAGTGCCACCCGACCACCTACAGGTACATCAGAACAGTGCCACCCGACCACCGACAGGCACATCAGAACAGTGCCATCCGACCACCAACAGGTGCGTCAGAACAGTGCCACCCGACCACCGACAGGTACATCAGATCAGTGCCACCTGACCACCGACAGGTACATCAGAACAGTGCCACCCGACCACCGACAGGTACATCAGAACAGTGCCATCCGACCACCAACAGGTGCATCAGAACAGTGCCACCCGACCACCGACAGGTACATCAGAACAGTATATAACAGCTGTCATTGTTACATCTCATCAGTAAAATGGAAGTTCACTTTTTTTTCACAGTTGATAATTATTAACAAATCTCTTTGATCCACACAACAGAAGGGCATCACATCCATAAATACTATATGTTTGAAAGTCTAAAACAAATGAACTATAATATACAGTCAACACCTGAAAAATAATAATTGGTATAGAACAAAATATTTCCAAGTCATCGAGCTGCAGGTCTGATGATATTTTGCAGGAAACTGAAGAAAGTGTTACCAGATTTACCTGGGAATTAGCCCATGCCTGGTAATAAGCCCATCCCTATCTCCAGCCATGTTGTAGGATAAATATGTGATGCATAAGATATAGGTCACGTTTGGTTTGCTCCACATAACTAAACAAATCAACAATATTTATCCCAAAAAAACCTGTATGTTTCATGTGTTTTATCATTTCATTGTCACACTTGAATTATAACATTATGTCTTACATCGAATTTTCTTTTATCTGAAAATTAAAATGATGTTTTTGATACAGAGGACTGCTAGCTTGTCTTCCATGCATGGGTTATGGGATAAAAAGGGTCTCCAACACCTGCGAGTGGATAATGTTATATTTAATCTCAGGAATTTATTCTTAAATATAACATATTAAGAATAACTCCATCTGCTGTATATAAATCAAAATCAATTAACATCAGTTAGGTAACTGCTATATAAAGTACAAGGTAGAAGTACAACAGACAGGGGAGATAACCCCATAGTTTTGCGACTGACCTTTCACCGTGACTGCAGCCACAGATTCAATGTTTCCCAGGTCAGACGAGGCCACACAGGTGTAATTCTTGGTTTCTGTGACATTGAGAAGTTGTAAAACATTTTTTCCAATGTTGACTTCATCATCGGTGTTCAACTCGAATGGTCCATCCCTCCACTTGACCACTGGCATTGGTGACCCAACGGCCACGCAAGTCAAATTGACGGTTGTATGTAGGTCAACCTCCCTATTCTCTGGTGGTATCGTAAAATGAGGTGGGACTCTTCTTACTGAAAACAATACAAATTATTTTTTTATTCAACATTGTTTAGGCGTGTCTACAACAACTTTATATAAATGACCCATCCCTAAATTACAGTATAACTTATTAACTCAGCAGCAAAATCAACTTATTATGCCAAGATTTGTATCGAGATTTCACATACATCCGGTCTATTGGTCCACCGGGAAATGTCATAAACCGAATAAACATCAATTTGAGGAAATGTCAATTCTCCTATCAAATTTCTGAGTGGATTGACATCGTAGAACAAAATTACAGAATTAATGCATTATCATGTAGAAATATTAGAATATTATTTTTTCATGTCAAATAATGATATTGAAAACCTGTACTACTGAAAATGTACATAAACTTGGCATACCCAAAGGACGAAAAGCAAAGCATTGGAATAATTATTTCGTAAAATATGTCAACCATGGATTAAATAAATATTGTATTTAGTACCTGATCAAATACAATTTCATATTGAATGATTCAAGAATGTTGGCAATATGATGTCATGAGATTAAGGAAATGGAAATTGATGTTTTAAATTCCTTACATTGGGAAAAGATTTTTTTTTTTACAGAAACATTCTTTTCATATTAGAAAATATGAAACCTCTTAAATTTTCTTCTCAAAAACAGTGTTTAATTTTCACAAGTGTGTTTGTGTGTTTGTTTAGAATGTGTTTCTGCCCGTTTGCCCTGGGTTTGCCCTGGGTGGTCGGGGAGGTAGTTAAGCTTGGTATAGGCAGGGGGAGAGGAAACAGCACCACAGCTTGTCATGGAACCAACAACTCTACTACTGAAACTGACAGGAAATCATGCGACAGGTTTTAACAGCTGCATTTTAGTGTGCATTTCAGCACACTGGCTAGGAGGGTATACTATGAAATAAGTCATTAAATTTCATTTGACAGAAGATGGTATTACAACAAGATTTCCTGTTTAGAATATTACAGGAGGTTCGGGGAATGGACATTCTCTTTTCAAAGAACTACAAATCTTCCCACTCCATCTAGCCACTACACCCTAAACTGTCTAGAATTGCTCGCCTTTGTGTACAGTGGAGATTTCTGTGTACCCATCTCCCCTGGAGTATGCTCAGTAGCTCAAACGAACTTTTATCAGAATGTTGGAAATTGGTATAGAGGTCAGTTGGTGGTCAGAACCTTATAAAACCCTGTACCCCAGGTGAAGGGAAGTGACCCAGGGAACTAGTTTGGTGGAGAAAGAAGAGAAAATAAACCCTGGGGAGGGGGAGGGAGGATTATAAACCCTGGGGAGGGGGAGGGAGGATTAAAATGTTATTTCATTAGCATCCTGAAACTTTTAAAGCAACTTTCTCAATATCTTCTTCAATTTGAAAGCGGTTTTTTTTCAACTTTGAAAGTAGCTAGTTGTGTCGACAGCATGGTGCCAACAGTGTGTGTGGTTTCACCATATTTATTTTACATTTCATGCATTTTTACCATTTTTATTGGAATTTTCTGAGGCTAATTATAGTGCTATATTGAAACAAAATTCACAAACTGAAAAATGTGTTTCCATATGATAATCTGAGATTATTTTCATACATTTGTATGACTGGGTTTTTCGAGGTATGACAAGTTATTCAGACGAATTCCATTTTTCTACGCCATTTTATTCTTTGTTTTACAAAATAATGGCAGTGAAATTCTGTTTTCAAGAATAATTCACCATAGTTTTTGCAAATCATCCACAAAAAAAATATATATGAAAATGCCGTCAGATAAAACATGAATTAATTCTCTTTCAGGGTTTCCAATTTCATTTCAGTCATGCAATAAATGACTCCATGAAAATTAAATGAAAAAAGATAGAGATGCATGAAATACAGGGTAAATCTGTGCAAATCACGAAAAGTTTTCGCATGATGCTGTATGATTATATTGACCAAACATTAAAAACGTCAATTCTGAATTTTTTGAAAATTGAGATTTGATAAGAGATAGACAAACTGGCCACTGTGAGCTGGTAAAAAAAAAAAATTGATTCATTTCTGATAATTATTATTATTTTTTAATATTACTGCAAGTTCAAATAACTTTTTCCAAATGACATGCATATTACACGGTAAAATGATTTCAAGGTTTTAAAGCAGGGATCAGGCACGTCTTAGTTAAACATGGATGATGATTATTGTGGTCGAGGAAAAACATTCTGGTTTACGTTTAGTGATTTCAATAACAGTGGATTTAGTTAAGTGTTAAAAACAACAGTGATGTAATTGTTTAAAATGACAAAGTGACATTCACACACTGTCATGCGAAACAAGGGAATTTTGTTGCATTTTAAAATTATAACAAAGTTAGTGGCTCAGATACACAAATCAAACCTTCTGATCTATTACAAACCGGCAAGAGAAAATCAATCGTTGATGTCGTCTTTTAGAATTTTAGCTAATTTCATCAAGTGTGAATCAGAATGTCATATAAATCAATTTCAATGTCAATTTCCATGTAAAGATGTATAATTGATGTCATCGAAATAGATAAGGCTATATTGATTGGATGGAAAAGTCACGATACTTTTCAGATTAAATCAGCAAAGAAACCCCCCCACTAGATATACCTAAATAAAAGACATTTTTTATTACACTAACAAGTCTTTTCTTCAGCCAGATAACCAGGTTGGTTTTTCAGATGTCGAATAATCGTTATCTTTGCCGGGGAGTTTCCATTTACCTGTATAGGTATTCTATTCTAACTGCTCCAGATTTATAGATGCTGGATGGCTGGACAATTTGCCAAGAGGCTGACAAACCCATCACACCTTATCATCAAACCAGAATAAAAACGATAAACAAAATCTCGCTCATATTGTCCAGTATCGCAAAATGTATCTCATTACCAAAATCTGATGCATTTTGACAGGACAGTGTTCCACGCGGATGGCCCCCCCGCAGTATCCTGTGTCTAATGCTGAGGCTAACCTCAAATTGTCTTTCTCTTATAAAGAAGTTGTTTCTATGTTCACACTTAAAAAACAAATAGCCATACATACATGATGTACTAAATCAATTATTATCTTCTGTTTTAGAGATGTGGCGTCTTTTGAAGATAAAATGATGCTATTTCCCTTCAAGGGCTTCATCCAGTATACTCGCCGATTTAACATGTGGGAGTAACTGTGTGGCAAAATTCTAAAAACGTCTTACAAAGTACAATTACCTAATTTGACAAAATAATAGTGTAAAATGCCGTAGTTAAAGCCACATAATTTGATTTGCAGAAACACCAAGGTACAGAAAATGTCAAAGATTTTAAAAGTAAAGAATGAGGGCAGGACATCAGTCTTCTTGGCAAATATGACCAAGAAGCACATTTAAAAAAAAATCTAATCAAGTTTCAACACAAAATATTGTTTCTATAAAAGTTCTCATATTCTTTAAATAAACTAATTTCATGTATGACGAGTGTTGTTCTTAGGGTTCCTGCTGTGATTCAATGACATCAAATCTCCATGTCTCCTCTGTGACTTACTAATTCTTACGTAATAATACTCTGGTAGATTTTTTATAAATAGCAAAAGCATGGTTTCCTGCCGAGTCCAACCATATGTTCTCCGTTGAGAGGATTAATGTAAAACGGGCAGAAAAAACACAGGATGTTGGTGCATTATTTTTTTTCGCCTGGAGAACACCATGCATGTCAAATGGGTTTTTATTGGCTGTGGAGGTTTAGTAAGATTAGAGGGGGATAAATCTTGGGATTTGGCACAAATTAAATAGCCAACATATCCAACCCAACACCACCAAAGAGCCCTGCGCAACCAAAACACACAAACATCACTCACAAAAACCAAGGTGCAATCTTTGAAGTACAAATTTTAGCTTAATATGTTGTGTTCCCAGATACAATAAACCTCAATATATCTCAGTACGCACCGTTATAGTAGCACACATACATTTCTGTATGCCTCATATTCTTGATTTTTCTTTCCTAAATTCCATTTTTTTTTTCTCTGCCTCAATCCATGTATATCAGATATATTTAGAGCAGGATTATATGTAAAGATTTTTTTTTTAATTAGAAATAAGAAATTAGGGAATTTGCAGGTTTTTCATTAGAATGGAATTAAATTGAAGTGATGTGCCTTGCTGGACTGAAAGCCCTTGCAGATAATGAAATTCACTCCCACTAGGTTGGACTCTTATTTAAACTTTTCTGATTCAAACTACAGATGAAAATGTGAGAGCTGTATGCCTATTTTATGACTTTGTAAAGTAACACTTTCATTCCCCATAAATATTTGATTTTAGATCATAAAGTGCTGGATTCAAATTGATTGTAATTCCATGCATATGAAAAGAAACAAGATTTTAAAACGTTTTATAGAATTTGATGGATTTATTTAGAAGTTGTTAAAGTAAACCCGAACGTGATGCGTTTTGGTTGTTAAGGTAAAACCTGAACACATGATGCGTTTTGGTTGCTAAAGTAAAACCTGAACACATGATGCGTTTTGGTTGCTGCCCCGTTGGTGGTGAAAGAGGAGAAAAGGTTACCTGCTATGGTCAGTAGCTGGTCAGTATCATCTACAACAAAGCAGACCAACTTATTGTAGCCTCTACTCCATGGTCAGATGTCCAGCTGTATTTAAAAGCTTGTCATATGATGTAACAAACATCCTTATTACGTGTAAATTTTACTGCTGGACGTGAAAACAGTGCTGTAATCCATTTCCAGGTGAACGAACTTTTCATATTCAGTCTGACAAGTTATCTTATTTGTTCCAGGACAATTTTGCTTTGAGTAGAACTGAAAACCATGCTTACGCCTCCTCCGGGCTACAAAAAAGATTGTGGTTTAAAGATGCTCCCTTAGCTAAACTCACGCATTGCCAAACCTATGTAGCATTTTTTAAGAAATTCTTACAGACTCTGGTTTTTGTACAGAAATCCTCTACGACATGAGTTTTCAAACACTGTTCCCTTTGGGCACAACTTTGCATTCAGAACTCTCCTATGGCACAAATGTTCATACAGAACTCCCTTAGGACCCCAATGTTCGTATGTAACTCCCTTAGGACCCAACTTGGACTTTGGAAGAGAGCTCCCTTGGGACCCAAGCTTCAGACCAAGACACAAGACAGATGTATCTGAAGTGAGGTTTTGCCTGGCACACTGTGTTGACCTACAGTGTATCATTATAAGGAGAATCCACCCCCACAGTCAGAAGATTAGTCTTGGACCACCTCTACCAACAAGGAGATCAAGAACCTTTATCAGTTCTGTCGGCTGAGATCTGCCCACACCTCCTTCAGATCTTCCATGAACACTGCAGGATCCTACACAACCTTTCTGTGTCAGGACAGTAGGACCCTCTTTAACCCCTACATAAGGAGATTAGGACCCTCCTTGACCGCTATACCAATCAGACAATTAGGACCTTCCTAGACCTCTACCAATCAGGAGAGTAGGACCCTCTCTAACCCCTACATTAGGAGATTAGGACCCTCCTTGACCTCTATACCAATCAGGAGAGTAGGACCCTCTCTAACCCCTACATTAGGAGATTAGGACCCTCCTTGACCTCTATACCAATCAGGAGAGTAGGACCCTATCTAACCCCTACATTAGGAGATTAGGACCCTCCTTGACCTCTATACCAATCAGGAGAGTAGGACCCTATCTAACCCCTACATTAGGAGATTAGGACCCTCCTTGACCTCTATACCAATCAGGAGAGTAGGACCCTATCTAACCCCTACATTAGGAGATTAGGACCCTCCTTGACCTCTATACCAATCAGGAGAGTAGGACCCTATCTAACCCCTACATTAGGAGATTAGGACCCTCCTTGACCTCTATACCAATCAGGAGAGTAGGACCCTATCTAACCCCTACATTAGGAGATTAGGACCCTCCTTGACCTCTATACCAATCAGGAGAGTAGGACCCTATCTAACCCCTACATTAGGAGATTAGGACCCTCCTTGACCTCTATACCAATCAGGAGAGTAGGACCCTATCTAACCCCTACATTAGGAGATTAGGACCCTCCTTGACCTCTATACCAATCAGGAGAGTAGGACCCTCTCTAACCCCTACATTAGGAGATTAGGACCCTCCTTGACCTCTATACCAATCAGGAGAGTAGGACCCTATCTAACCCCTACATTAGGAGATTAGGACCCTCCTTGACCTCTATACCAATCAGGAGAGTAGGACCCTATCTAACCCCTACATTAGGAGATTAGGACCCTCCTTGACCTCTATACCAATCAGGAGAGTAGGACCCTATCTAACCCCTACATTAGGAGATTAGGACCCTCCTTGACCTCTATACCAATCAGGAGAGTAGGACCCTATCTAACCCCTACATTAGGAGATTAGGACCCTCCTTGACCTCTATACCAATCAGGAGAGTAGGACCCTATCTAACCCCTACATTAGGAGATTAGGACCCTCCTTGACCTCTATACCAATCAGGAGAGTAGGACCCTATCTAACCCCTACATTAGGAGATTAGGACCCTCCTTGACCTCTATACCAATCAGGAGAGTAGGACCCTATCTAACCCCTACATTAGGAGATTAGGACCCTCCTTGACCTCTATACCAATCAGGAGAGTAGGACCCTATCTAACCCCTACATTAGGAGATTAGGACCCTCCTTGACCTCTATACCAATCAGGAGAGTAGGACCCTATCTAACCCCTACATTAGGAGATTAGGACCCTCCTTGACCTCTATACCAATCAGGAGAGTAGGACCCTATCTAACCCCTACATTAGGAGATTAGGACCCTCCTTGACCTCTATACCAATCAGGAGAGTAGGACCCTATCTAACCCCTACATTAGGAGATTAGGACCCTCCTTGACCTCTATACCAATCAGGAGAGTAGGACCCTCTCTAACCCCTACATTAGGAGATTAGGACCCTCCTTGACCTCTATACCAATCAGGAGAGTAGGACCCTATCTAACCCCTACATTAGGAGATTAGGACCCTCCTTGACCTCTATACCAATCAGGAGAGTAGGACCCTATCTAACCCCTACATTAGGAGATTAGGACCCTCCTTGACCTCTATACCAATCAGGAGAGTAGGACCCTATCTAACCCCTACATTAGGAGATTAGGACCCTCCTTGACCTCTATACCAATCAGGAGAGTAGGACCCTATCTAACCCCTACATTAGGAGATTAGGACCCTCCTTGACCTCTATACCAATCAGGAGAGTAGGACCCTATCTAACCCCTACATTAGGAGATTAGGACCCTCCTTGACCTCTATACCAATCAGGAGAGTAGGACCCTATCTAACCCCTACATTAGGAGATTAGGACCCTCCTTGACCTCTATACCAATCAGGAGAGTAGGACCCTATCTAACCCCTACATTAGGAGATTAGGACCCTCCTTGACCTCTATATCAATCAGGAGAGTAGGACCCTATCTAACCCCTACATTAGGTGATTAGGACCCTCCTTGACCTCTATACCAATCAGATGATTAGGACCTTCCTAGACCTCTACCAATCAGGAGAGTAGGACACTCTCTAAGCTCTACATTAGGAGATTAGGACCCTCCTTGACCGCTATACCAATCAGACGATTAGGACCTTCCTAGACCTCTACCAATCAAGAGAGTGGGACCCTCTCTAACCTCTACATTAGGAGATTAGGACCCTCCTTGACCGCTATACCAATCAGACGATTAGGACCTTCCTAGACCTCTACCAATCAGGAGAGTAGGACCCTCTCTAACCTCTACATTAGGAGATTAGGACCCTCCTTGACCTCTACCAGCTAGGAGATTAGAACCCTCATTGACCTCTACTAGTTAGAGAATTGGACCCCCTTGACCTCTACCAGTTAATAGTTAGGACCCTCCTTGACCTCTACCAGTTTGGAGTTAGGACCCTCCCTGACCTCTACCAGTTAGGAGATTAGGACCCTCCTTGACCTTTACCAGTTAAGATTTAAGACCTTCCTTGACCTCTACCAGTTAGGAGATAAGGACCCTCCTTGACCTCTACCGGTAAGGAGATTTGGAACCTCTTTGACCTTTACCAGTTAGGAGATAAGGACCCTCTTTGACCTTTAACAGTTCAGATTTAGGACACTCCTCGACCTTTACCAGTTAGGAGATTAGGACCCTCCTTGACCTCTACCAGTTTGGAGATTAGGACCCTCCTTGACCTTTACCAGTTAGGTGATTAGGACCATCCTAGTCATTGACCTGTATTATTGTTGTGACCTCTGACCCACTAGAAGTCTGGGACTTTCCCCAACATCTACAAATAAAAGTAAATAAAAACACGGAAGACTGCAGGTACTTTGAGAGATCTACTGAGTAGTAAAAGGTTAATGGAGGTAAGGACGGCCAGACTTTACCGGGTGTGTGTGACGTGTATCAGCAGTATCTGAGGTCCTGTATGTATTGATTGTGTGAAGGAGGTGTGAAACCATGTACAAGTTCATGTTATAGTAATAATCTAAACCACTTCCATATTTCATAGGCTAACAAAAGTACCGTAATGACTTTTTTCAAATAATTATTATAAATAAAATAGCTTAAAGTTTGATTTCTCTGTCTGACATCAAATTGGATTGAGAAATACTGGTGTATAAAACTAATTCCTGAAGTTTTGGTACAAAGTTAACATTTCGTTAAATCTTAATTATATTGTATTGCTGATCTTCCGATTAATCCAATGGCACAGTTTAATTAACAGGTTTGAAATCATACTGAATAAAAATAAGCTAATGACCAAAAATATTTAGGAAAAATTATACTATATATATAAATAGTTTCATTCAATTATGAATTATCTCCCTTTTCAATTAAAGTCCATACAAGATCTTTTTTGAAGTTTATATGTACTTAATGATCACAAAACAAATTTGTTAATTCTTTTACTTTCCCGTTTCCTAAGTGTTTAACTGCGACTAGACCTGAAGAAATGTCGGCAAAGAATTCCAAAATAATTTCCGTTGTGTCGATGACTTTTACATGACAACATGCATGTTCGTACCGCTGCCTGTATTCTGTGATGTGGAATCCTAATGGCTTGGACAAACTCCAATCTTGTTTCAATTTATTCAAATATTAATGCCTTAGTTTGTGTATGCCAAGTTACCTTAGCTATCTACCACCCTGGACTAGGATTTAAACTCGGCTTCGGAGCGTCCCGCTGATCGTAAAACAGAATATCAAAGATAAAAAGTCAGGTTTAACTTTCCGATGAAGAAATTCTTCGACTAGACACAGAAAAAACTATAGGAATTAGATATGGAACAGGTGATATATTTCATAAATAAAGAAGATAAGGTTAGAGCAAATCTTACAAAATAGTGTGCTTGAAGCTTCTGCATATGTTATTTCTCTGTTAATGCAGCAATTCTAGTTTTCTGATACACAGTGTGCAGCTAGTACTGTCAAAGCAATTTGTGATTTTCAATAACATTATCCAAGCAAAGTCAGTCAAATACTTCATTCGGATAATAAACACAGATTGTAGATGAAATATATTTATGACCCATATAGATAGTGATTGAAGTTTCTGTAGAAAAGTGAGAATTTGAACTTT